TTGGGAGTGGCCTGGAGGGGGAGGACAGTCTTTCCAAGCAGTCTGGCGGCCACGCCTGGTCTCGAAGGTCTGTCCCTCCAGAGAGAGGCCAAATTCGTGGGTCCTCTTGGCCTGCCCCCCCCCCACAAACACTGTTGCAGGACACCCTGCAGGAGGGACCGCAGCAGAGAATGCGGCTCTTCTTCTTCCACCCGAAGGGAGGGTGGAACGGGAGAGCCGGGGCGCCCCCAGGCCCAATGGACCAGGTCACGATCCGTTAACAAGTGCTGCAAACTCTTTGCTCAACAGAACCAGGATTCAGAAGCCTTCAAACACCCGCTGCCAGCCAAGGAGAAGGGGGCCCACGCTGTGGTTGTTGAGGGCGTCTCTCTCTGCTCCCTGGGGCAAGACAAGACCTTGGTCCACACCCAAGGGCCACGGCGGTCCCTTGCTCTTGTGTCCACGATGGCCGAGGTGGGTTTCCGTGGCGCAGAGGGGCCAGGCCCCCAGCAGACCCCCCAAGTTCTCCCTGGGTGTAGAGAAGCAGCCCTCTGCCCCGATCCGCAGCCTTGCCAGCCACCCATCCTGCCCGGCATTTCGGAGAACGTGGCCTCAGTCCACCAACCAGTCTCTTGGGAACGGCCCCGCGTGAAGGTCTTGATCATTTTTTTTAAGATAAAAGAAATATCTAAAAAGATACAATTTTTAAAAACAGTCCACAGTACAGGAGCTTTCTTTTTCTTCCCTCATATATATATATATATATGTATACCTATTTATATATATACGTGTTTTTTTTATAAAAAAAAGGGGGGGGGAGAATGGTCTTCACCACAATGCAGAGACGGAGGACCCAATCCGCCAAAGGTCTTCTCTGCAACGCTCCCCTCCCGCTGCCTTGCCGTGAACGGGAGCTGTTTTTCTCTTCTGCGCCGTCGGCCCTGCTTCCAAACGGGGAACCCTCTGGTGCAGAAAGAAGGGGCGCCCCGGCCGGACTGAGCCCACAGAGGTTAGGATTTCTACTGCTAAGAACGAACACATCAACTACTTCAAAAGCTAACATCGCTCGGAGACCGTACCGTTTTACAGAGAGTGGCCACCTCCTTCCCTGCCCCCTCTCTTGAAGGCTCTCCCCTTCCACCCACTGTCTCTGCTTCGTGTTGTGTCCTAAAGAGGAAAAGCCACTTTCCGGCTGCATCAAAAAATAAAAATAAAACTTTAAAAAAATGGGACAATTTCCCCAGTAGAAATGTCACCTGGTCAGCCTTTCTCTCCAGAAGTTCCTCTGACGTTTCAGCCTCTCCTTGGCAAAGCAGAACTTTTTCAATTTTTCAAAAAAGTATAGAGACTTTTAAGGGGAGATGCCATCAAGTCTAGTCTCACTCACACGCACGCACACGCTCACAATCGTTAACCTCCTAAAAGTGGGGCGGGGGGAGAGAAATTAATTTAGGAACTTATCTTTTTAGGATACTGAAGCCTTTTTAAAAAATATTTAAAGACTGGAGGGGAAAGTGGGGCAGAGCAGGAGATTTCAAAAATAAAAATATAAAAAGAGGAGAGTCAAGCCCCAGGGCAAGGCAGCACAGTTCCGGGGGGTGGAGGTGGGGGTGGCAGGTGTTTGCGAGGCCTCCGTCGGCTGTCCAAGGGCGTTCACGAGGAGTCTGTGGTCTACTCAGAGTCGCTGCTGTCGGAGCTGGAGCCGCTGGAGCTGCTGCTCCCGGATTCGGAGGAAGAGCTGCTGCTGAGACGGGACGGGCCTCCCGACGGGGCCGAGCCGGATTTTTCTGTGCAAGAAAAAAGGGGCCAAGCGCCACCGGTGATTTGAAGGCCACTGGCCTTGGTGGATTCGGGGAAACTCGACCGGGCGGCTTCTCTCCCGCTGAAGCCCTTGTCGCCCGATGCTCTGAGAGTCCCTCCCCAGCCCTCGCTAGAAAGGAGGGAGCCCTTCTGCGGGAGCCCCTTGGCAGGCTCAGCCCCACCGATGATGCCTGGGGAGGCTGGGGGTGGCTTCGGCTGGCTTCTCTGGGCCGACCGACCGACTCCCCGCCCCCCCAGAAGTGCCTCTCCCTGTGTTCCCCTGGCCCCATGACTGGCTCGCCCCTCCCCAGCCCCGGAAGGAGAGGGCAAACCATGCCTGATGCCCGCCGGTCACCTTTCTTGGCAGGCTTCTTGTTGCTGCCACCACCACCTCCGCCGCTGTTGCTGTTGTTGTTGTTGTTGTGGAGCTGGCCACTGACGTCCTGGAGGCGCCTCTCCAGCTCCTTCTTCTTCTCCTGCGCCATCTCCTCCTTGGACCGGGCCGCCTGCTTCTTCCCGCCGGCCGCTGCAGGGAAGAAATGCCCACCTGCTGAGCTCGGGGTGGGGCGGGGCTACGGTGTGCATGCACACACGGGTGTGCCTGCGAGGGGGGAGGGTGCGCGGCCTGAGCCGTGCAGGCAAAAGCGCAACAGCACAAAAGGCACGCACGAACGCCCTTCCGGTCGGCAGGATTTCACAACTTTCAGCCACTGAATGGGGATTTTCTTTCTTTTTGAGCCTCTTTCCGAAAGCAAAGCAGCAAACCCTACTTGCAAGGCGGCATTCACTTCGGGAGCCATTTAAAAAAAAAAGACTGCCGCCTCCGGCCAGGTACGGGCACAAGCCGTGAGGCCCTTGCTTTTCGAAGCCCGCCCGCCCACGACAACCAGCACCCAGCACTTACAAAAGGGCTTCCGCTGCTTCTTCTGCAGGCAGGACTTGACGTATCTCTCCAGTTCCCGCAACGTGGTGGGCTTCAAGGTCTCAAAATCAATTTCGATCTCGTCCGGGTTCGAGTCGCGCAGGGAGGGCTCCCGCGACTGGATGATGTGCACCACCCGGCCCAGCTTCTCTCCCGGCAGGCGGTTGATGTCCAGGCTGAGCTGGCGCTTCTCGTCGTACGTCATGGGCAGGCCTTCCTCCTCCTCCTCCTCCTCGGAGTCGTAGGTGGCCGGAGCCTGCTTCCCGCCCTTCTTCGGCGGCCTGCGAGGGAGGGACGGGAGGAGAGGGCTAGGGAACGGGCGGACCAGAGGCTCGGCCCGCCTGAGAGGGGGGGCAACCCCGCCCTCTCCAAGGGCCGCCACCTCCCCCCCGGCTACAGACTCCCGCCGGCCGTCCACAGAGGTCAGGCCCCAGGGACCCCTCCTCCGGGCCAGTTCCCCCAGTGGCGGACGGGCTCCCTCCTGGCTGGGGGGGGGCTTCGCGGCAGCCCCCCCACCCCACCCCCAGGCCCTGCCGGCTCACCGGTTGGCGGTGGTGGTGCTGTTGGCCTTCTTGGCGGGGGCCTTCTTGGGCTGGGCCGGCTTGGCCGGGGGGGCCGCCTTGGCTTTCTTCTCCTCCTCGGCCTTGACCTTCTGCTTCTCTTTCTCTTTCTCCTTCTCCTTCTTCTTCTTCTCCTTCTCCTTCTTCTCCTTCTTCTTCTTCGGCTTGTTCACGGGCGCCTGCGAGAGGGCCGCCAGCTGCTCGTGGACCGCCTTCAGCTGGCGGGAGAGAGGAACAGCCGCGCTCAGCGGGGCTCCGGGTCCCCCTCCAGCCCAGCGGCCGTCTCCCCGCAAACCGCCCCCCCAGGTAAGGGGGAGCCAGGGGAGGTCTCCCAGGGAGGAGCCCAGGACCTCCCCCATCCCGGTGCATGCACCTTAGGAGCGTGGCACGCCCCAGGGCACCACCATGCCCGTGGGAGGGACCTGGCCAAGGGCCACCCCTTGGAGCCCATGGGATTACTGCAATCCACTACCACCCCCATCGTCCCTTGAGGGAGTCCCATCCCTCTCCCATCCAGTCCTCCTCCTTTCCTGCCCTTTTCCTGAGGTGCTGGTCTTCTCGGGTGGGGCCTCTGAGACAAGGGCACACCTCCCGCCCCCCCAGGGGTGGAAGCAACCCAAGCCCTTTGCCCTCTCAGGATCCGAACCCTCCTGCCTTTCTCTCGGCCTCCTCAAGAGCCTCTACAGAACAAGCCGTCCCCAACCTTTTCACCCGAGCCCTTTGCCCTCTCAGGCTCCGAACCCTCCTGCCTTTCTCTCGGCCTCCTCAAGAGCCTCTACAGAACAAGCCGTCCCCAACCTTTTCTCAACCGCGGACCGGTTTTGGGGGGGGCGAGGTCAGTGCGCACATGGGTATGGCGCGCTCGCACTCTCAGCGGAGCGTGCTCACAGGGGTTGGGGGGGGAAGAAGAGATCTGTGTCCATGGCCCGGTTCTGCCCAGGCCACGGACCGGGGGTTTGGGACCCCTCCCACTGCTATGGAAAAACGAGGGAGGCCAGATTCGGGAGGGTCATTTCAGACTCTTCTCTCTCGGTCTCTCTTGGTCGCTGCCAGGGGACCTGCCTACCTCCCGGTGACCTCGACTACAAGGGCCGAGGCTTCGAGGGGGTGGCAGCCGCCCCCCCCCCCCAAAGGAGCCCCCTCGCAGGCCACCCGCCACCAAAGAACAGGGAGTCTGGACCCCTAGCAAACTAAAGCTACGGAACGCCACACACATTTCCGCACAAGAAAGAAACCGATAAAAACCAAAAAATAAAACTGGGCCAATACATTCCATCCATTCCATCCTCGGGAGTCTCTGACCCTCTGCCTCAAAGAGCCGGAGCGGTCCTGTGTGAACGAGAAGACAGGCAGGGAAGCAAACGGAGCGTCCACACTCCGGTGCAAGGGAGGTCAAGGGGAGAGAG